TCCCCAGGACCCAATCTGGCCCACACACCATTCATCTTGGCTCAGATCAGTACTTGTTTAGAAGCAGTTGCGTTGTTGGAGCAAGTGCCATGGGAATTATAGCATCAGTACCAACTCAAAATAAGAGCTATTGATGGGGGACTTGTTTTTTCATAATAGACTGACTTTTAGGTGTTGAGGAAATAGAGGTATTTTAAACCTGCTAAACTTTGTCAAAGTGTTTTCCTATAGATCAGGGCTACTTAACCCTTGGCCCATGGGATAAATCTGTAGCTATGTCATCCAGCTTGCGGGGTTCCTCGTGGGTCTAGAAATTTGGCATTGGGAGAGAGGTGGCTATTAATACTGCTACTGCTCCTGTGCTGCTAAATTTCCAAGCCCCCACAGCTGATTGGGTGCACAGACTAGATCTAGTCTGCAGACAGTTTGGCACCACTCATTCAGCTGAGAGCAGAAAGGTTGGGCCTCACTACTATAGATGATTTATCATCTATCATTCCCAGGGTTTTGAACCCAAAGGAATTTAAGAAAGGAGTTATCTAGGAAGTGATGGTTGTTCCTTGGACAGGTTCGGAGAGTAGTTTTAAATGCATGTTCAGTGTGTGCATTCCTCAGCAAAGATCTGTTGCTGTGAGATGGGGGGAAGGGCACGGAAGTGGGACTTTCTAATGTAAAATCTGATGTTGCTTTCTATTCTAAATGTCACATTCTTGAACTACTCATCTGTGTGACAGCTTTAATAAAAAAAAAATTACAACACTTTATCAGGGGAGGTCTAGTAACAGTTGAGAAATATCTGAAATTTGGTGAAGCTTCGAGATCAAGAGTCCTCCTGAACCAACCACTTCATAAATCTAATGCTTCTGTAACTGACCACAGCCAAGACCAGAGACTGTTTAGACCTCACTCATGTGAAACAAAGCTTGGGGTAGTGCCTGTTCCCACTAGGACCCTATTGCTTGCAGGCTATGGGTCTTCAATCAAGACTGATTAAAAGTTGGTGACTGGATCTGTCTTTTGGACAGGGGGAAAAAAGGATTTTAACAAAAAAATAGGCTTTGCTTTTTGGTTTGTTTTTTCCCAGCTTTCCACACAATATTGAAGTCTGTGCCCCTTCTGCCTCCAGAACTATTTTAAAGCTGAAACATTGCTTCCTGTGAGTTGTAGCTCCATCCTTAATGGGCCAGATTTCCCTGGGTTTCAACTCCCAGGATGCACAGCCTCCTGTCCTATGCACCAGGGAAAAAGGTGCATGAAACCCACTGCAATTTGGCATCAAAGCCTTTGACTTTTTGATAATGTATTTTGGATTTTGGTTTCCAACTGCTATTCTGATCACCACTAGTTATACATGGATCTCTTTCTGCAGTCAACATTTTAAACCATTTTGGTTAGAAGGGTCTTGATTCCATTGAACCTTTGAAGTCTCCTGTCTTTATGAACAGCAATTCTGGTCCTGTGTGGGGAACACAGTGGGACAGTCTGGCTGTGAGGGCACCTGCTCTGCTGAACTCAAGGGTGCTGTGCAGTGTTGTGAATTCACCTGGAGTCTCCTGCAATGGGGTGCTTCCCTTCCACACTTAGCTCTTGACCGAGCCCAGGGTGACCTTGCAGCTTAAGAACATAAGAATTGCCACTTACTGAGTCAGACTATAGGTCTATTTTGCCCAGTTTCCTGTGTCACATGGGGGCAGAGTGTGGATTTGGAAAGGGAAAGTGAACAAGGTATGACTTAAGGTTTTTTCTCCCTACTGGTCTTCTCTCTCTTTTCAGCCTCCAGCATTTAAGGTCTAGGAAGCTCTAATTCAGAGGCCATCCTCTCCTATGCTCAATGGCTACTGATGCCCCTTTACTCCAAGAATTTTTCCAGTCCCTTTTTGGATCTGGATAAACTAACAGCTTCCACCCCATCAGGTGGCACAAATTCCACCCTTTAATGGCACATGTGAAATAAAGCTTCCTTTGTTAAATGAGCAATTAGCAGAGCAATCAAGGCAACTGATTAGAGGATGTCCAATCATCCCAAATCACCAGAGGAAGGTGGTGGACAGCAGCCTTAACAAGGCATTGGTCTACAGCCTGGTGCCTCACCTAGCACAATACTAATTAAGTAGCGACAAATAATCAACACAACAATGTGGGGGTAATCAACCAATTATATACTTTAACAATGAACCATAACAACAGCAGATCAATACTATTAACAACAATAAGCAACAAGAATAACAATACACACATGCACATACATAGATTATTGTTCTTGTTGCTTATTGTTATATATAAAAGCAAGGCAATTAATGAGGAAATTCTACATAGAGATCATAGAGGGGGCCAGAGATCAATCTGAGGCTCACTCTCGGCACTCACATGCAGTGGCACAAGGAATATTGGCCTGCCTTGCCCTCACCCAAGACGCACTGATACTAGACAGCGGATATCGGCTGCCTTGTCCCACACTACTACTCCAGCCCCTCGGCTCCCTGGACTACTCCTCTAGCCCAGGGACTCCCGTACCTGCAGTCACACCATCCGTACACAAACTCGTTCACTCTTCCTCACTCTCTCTCTGACTGCTCCTCCAGTCGCACGAGAGGTAGGAGACCTGGAAGCACAAGAGATGAACTGGATGACAGGAGACATAAAGAGGCAGGTTGTCTCAGACTGCCTGCCTTCATAGTCCTATAACGGACAGGCAGCTGTCAATCATACGAGGCATCAAACACAGATTCACAGGACGTCTCTGTGCACTCTACCTATCCCTGAAATGTATAATTTTTAAATCACTCAAATCAGCTTAGAGGCTTCCTGCACTTTCAGAGGCCGCACTATGCATGCTTTTTTCCCTAAAACTGGGTCACCTTCCAATAAGGATTAAAAGTTCACCCAGTCTGGAACTTTCTTACCCCTGCCAGGGAATGCTGCAAATTTGTTGTCTACGATCCCCTCTTTGATGGCATTGCAGAGTCTTATGTGATGTCCATCACACAACCAAGTCACAGTACCTGTAGCCACAATCTCCTGCTGCATATGCTGCGTGGCATGGCAGTGCCAGTGATGCACCGGGAAGTGCTGCCTACAGACCTGCAGTTGCACTGGATTGTTCCGAACTTAAGCAAAGAAACTACCCCTACTAAAATGAACCATGTACTAAACACTGATAACACACCCGCATCTTCACACTCGTACAGGGGTCTACTTTTACTAAAATGTTGCATAAAACATGCACGCCATTAGACCTACAGTACAATACAATATACGTATACTGTAGTTGTTCTACAGTATTATAATATACTTTAACCATAACAATATACATACATCTATATCACTACATAACAATACTGCAAACAACACTGAAACTGTTATGAAAACTGAAATCCCACAGAAGTCACTGGCATGGGCTTTCTGTATTCTTGGATCAGCATTCGAAGGATTCCTGGCCCCGTTATAAACCCATGCTACTTTCCCCAGTCCTCATCCCACAAATCACAAATACAAATTCCACGAGTTGGAGCAGGCAAGTCAGTCAGGATAGAGTCCTTGACCCTTGCTGGTAGGAGTTCCCTGGAACCAATCAGGGTAGAGTCCTTGGCCCTTGCTGGGAAGAATTCCCTGAAGCCGATTTGCTCCCGACCTCTAACTATCAATGACGTTGCACTTGATAAGGCTGATTCCTGTTCTGAATTTGAGCTAGTATAGGCTCCCTCAGATGCCCCTGAGGCTGACACCACCTCCGAGCTCAACTCAGCATCAGACCCCCACGATGAAGAAGTACAATTGGCATCTCCTGGCATCTCTGAGGCTGTTTCCACCTCCGATTCCCCAACCAGGATCGTCAACGATAGAGTCACTGCTGCCTCTGAAGCCGATTCTGCCTCCGATTCCTCAAGCAGGATCGTTGACCACAGAGTCACTGCCATCTCTGAGACTGAGTCAATCTCCAACCACAAACAGAGCCATTTCTGTCTTGGTCCTACAACACCATGGGAGTGATGCTTCATCAGCTGCTGCTTCAACGTCCGGCTCAGCTGGCACTGTGGATTCAATTTGATCGATTACTGCAGTCGCACACATACCTATTTGTCACAACCACCTTCTCTCCCTCTTTATGGGGAAAGGGTGCTTTCTATTTTCTTGGTTTCACAGTTACCGCCTGTGAAGATGACTCAAAAGCTACCTCGCCCTCCACCCTAGGTGGAGAGGGTGCCCTTCTCTTTTTCCTGGGAACAGTGATCTCAGTGGCTGCCTCAACAATGATTCCAGCTATAGAGGCATCCTCTACCTGAATCTCCTCGCATGTCACTGGTTTAACTTTCCTCCAATGGTTAAATGGTGCCTTCAGTGTTTCCAAAGGGTTCTGTCCTTCCCCTTTCAAAATCATTGAATTTTCCAAACTCCTCTGAATCGGGACCGTATATGGTTTTTAACCATCTTTTGTCCCGGCAGGACAACTGAAGTTTTTCCAGGATCTCGTATACAAGCTTTTCCCGGGCCTCTGTGGTGTCCATGACCCTCCTTGGGTTCAAAACAAAAATAAATATCAGTGACTCACCAGCCAATCACCCACTGACCCAGACCCCTCTTTGGATCTGGCTAAGACAAAACACAGATGAGTATGTTAGTATATTGGTAACACCTTAACCAAATTAATCAAATATGACAACCATCAAACACAAAAGACCCCTTTCTCGGGTCTGAAATAACCAAAATAAAATCAGACCAATTAATTTTGCAGATTATTCAAATGAGATGCTGCCCACCCAGGGGCGCCAACTGTTAAGCACCGGTTAACAAAGCCCTAGTTGGCTTTCAATTCATCAGTCTACAGGGATATAAATGAAGGTGGTGGGCAGCCTGCTCTCACCTACCGCCTGGCTGTACCTGGCACTCTGCAGATTAATTAGCTAATAACAAACAAACAGTACAAATGGAGGGGTCATAAACAACTATATTATGGAAGAACAAAGTCAAGATATACGCAGCAATGACAATACTAATCGATCATGAATCCCAATACAACAATGCAAATGCTAAGTGACAAGACAGTGCCCAGGCTAGGAGGTGCCAGAGAGCAATACAAGCTCTCATCAGCAGCTCGCTCGTGCTGCAATAGCAACTCACGTGCCCTTACTACAGCGCTCAGCTCCACCTGCACGCGAAGAGAGGGATATTAGCCACCCTGGCTCTGACCCTCTCTTACACACACAAAGCCCAAGGTGTTGGCAGTACACCTGCCCTCACTCAGCCACCAGTCACCTGCCCCACTGCACGCTCACTCCAATTTGCAGTAGACTACACACAACCGAACACAACTGCAGCTTGCATACTCACGCACCCAAGCAGGGATAGACCTCTCCTCCGATCTGTTCCTTTCGCCCTCATTCACTCAGGCAGGGACTAACCTATCCTCAAATCAGCCCCTTTTATATCACTTACACATTGTCACCCCTCAATCACTCACACAGCTGATCCTGCATCCAGGCACATGGCACTCAAATCCCTTCCACAGGACGTGCGCAGGTGCACCCAGCACCAGGCCATCTCTCTGAAGTGTGGGCGATTTTTATCTTGGAGCATTTCCCATCATATACACAGCTCCAGATGAGCATGGGCACAACAAGCATGTGGATCACAGTTCAAAAGTTCAACCAACATAAGTGACCTGAGGCCAGGGTCACTTACATGCCCTTCACTGGCACATAAATGACCTTAACTAAGGTCAGGGTCACTTGTGCCCTACACTGCCCTTTGGTTCCTACACCTTTTGTTCCTTTTAAACTTGCTACCTACTAGTTTCATTTTGTGACCCTTTCTTGTCGTGTGACAGAAAGCCCATAAGAAATCCCTATTGACTTTCTTTTTCGCATTGACCATTTTGTAAATCCTTCTCGTGCCCCGCACAAGTGTCTCTCTTCTAAACTGAGCAGGCCTGGCCTCTCTGGTCTCTCCTCACGTGGGAGCCCCTCCATAGTGCTCCTTGTCCTCGTCGCCCTTCTCTGCACCTTCTCTGGTTCTTCTAGATCAGTGGTTCTCAATTTTTTGTATCAGGACCCATTTGTTAACATCAATGGCCAGTCCTGACCTAGTGCCCCTCACTCCTGACCCGCTGTCCCCCACCCCGCCAGTGTGTGCCCCTTAGTGTGTTACATAAACATCCACACCATTATACATACATATATACAATATACATATAACAGTGTATAACAATATAACTTAATTTAACAATAACAATACATAACAATACAACAATTTTCCTGCCTATGCAGGGGGTCGGACTCGATGATCTATTGAGGTCCCTTCCAACCCTAACATCTATGAATCTATGAACGAACAACATTGAAGCCATTATGAAAACTGAAATACCAGCGTTTGCGACAGGGCGTGTATGTGCAGCATGGGACAGGGGGTGGCGGACAGGAAGCAGCCCCTGGCAGGCTTGCACCCAGTTTCCCACATTTTTCTCCCTTAAAAACCTGCCTAGACGCAAGGACAGGGGGCCAAAAAAGAGGACATGTCCAGAAAAATCTGGACGTATGGTAACCCTATTAAAGGAGATTCCATTTTTAAACTGTGTTGATCCATTTTTGCAGGGTTGTTGGTTGTAGCCGTGTTGGTCTAAGGACATAGGCAGACAAGGTTGCTTGCGTAGATGTGGTATCTTTTATTAGACCAGCTGAGTAGTTGGAAAAAAGCTCTTTGCAAGCTTTTGGGCACAAGCAGCCTTCTTCAGGCATAGCTGCTCTGAGATCTCCAAGGAATGAAAGTAGCTACAAGTGTGACAGGAGGTCAGTGAGAATGTAAATCGGTGGAAATTAGGAAAACAATGGGTAGAGCAGGGAAAGGAGGAGGAGGGAGAAATAATGCCAAAGGTAAGCAAACTGCAGAGAAAATTAGAAACCACCTTTTTCACCTAATCTACTGCAGAAGAGATCAGCGGAAGGAAATCACCACTTAAAAGAGAACAATTCAGACATCTTCCCTAATACTGTACGTCTATCTATCTATCTATCTATCTATCTATCTATCTATCCAAAGAGACCACCGAAGATTTTCTACAACCTCCAGGAAGAGCACACACCAACTGCAGATGCTTCCTCAGCCTGACGAAGGGTGTTTATACCCGGAAACTTGCAAAGAACCATTTTTCCAACTAATTCAGTTGGTCTAATAAAAGATATCGGATTTACCCAAAGAACCTGGTTTGCCAAGGTCCTTAGACCAACACGGCTACAACCCACCCCCCGTCCCAAAGGTAAGCGGGGGAGCCGGAGGCAGGTGACATCTGCCAGGTAGAACGGCAGTCTGCGAAACAATAATTATAATGTCCTCTCCACCTGATGGTTGGAAATTAGGAAGACAAAAGGTGGAGAAGGGGAGCATAAATGGTAAGGTCAGGGGGTGTAGCTGTGTGGGTATAAGGATGTCGGCAGATATGATTCTTTGCATGCTTGCTGGTAGTTGGGCCACTTATGGTTGTGGACCGACTCTTGAATTTGATAATTTGGGCTAATTTGGCGGCATATTAAATATATTAATATATATTTGCGGAATATTAAATTAAAAAACAAACAAAACCCCCCCCCCCCAAAAAAAAATCGGCTGTTTTGTATTACAGCTGGAAAAAAAAACAGTAGTCCGGTCAGGCAGGATAACGTGCCTAAAACGAGGTATGGTTCAGGGGCTGGGGCTGGCGGGCGCGCACACCCGCTCGCAGCGTGGAGCAAGGCTCGGCGCCGCACGTGGCTGCTCGCCAGGCCGCGCAGTCGATGCCGGAGCCACGGATGCGCCGCGGAGGCGCTGGCTCGGTGCTCGGCTGCGC